TCAAGTATTATCGACTGATGTAGGCTAAGTGTCTGCTAATTTTGCCTGGTCACAATTGCAGAAGAAAATTGGCAATGAAAACATGCCAACAATACGCTGAGAAAGTGGTTTGAGTCCTGCCATTCGATTATTTAGTCTCATCAGTAGCAAAACATTGAAATTCTACACAATTTATGATGTTCTTTCTAACATCGTAGTCAAAATTTAAATCTCATATATTCATTTTCTAACGAGAGTACGATTCTAACGAATCTGAACGACATGGTGAGTAGCATCAAACAATTCTTACAAACACATTTTTCTGGTAAGAAAATTTGTTGCCCAAATATGACGATGAAATTAATTTTTGACTTTGTCAAAAGCATGGAAATCGAATGATCCTATTTCCAAAGATGAATATGAGCAACTGACTTTCTGATTCGTTTCATAGGTAAGCAAAATACATGACTAGTCTGGATTTCTTGACCGTCATCATCTCTCGTCCTAACTGTATGACTGACGGGCTTTCCTAGTATCGGCATGACTAGTTTTTTTCACAAAAGTTCCTGTCTAAGACTAAATATGACTATCCACCATGATGATAGTCCAAAATATTGTAAAAATAAAAAAGAACATGGAATAGTCAGTAGTCTTTGACAGCGTCTCAGACTAGTCTTCCAGGTATTAACTAAAGGCAGTCTGAACTATTCTAAATAAATGAAGGATGATGATATAGATTAGATTCGAACATGGGTAATTCATGTTTGATACCTATCCTTTGGCCGATTGAGCCATAACAATCGAGACGATTATTATTATCATTCTTTAGACTTTCGAAAGTGTCATTTAGCTTCTAACAACTATAGTTTTCTCACATTTCTACAACTGAGATATCTTTTGTCCTTTCTAACTGAGCAAAATCATTCAATCGTTGGTACCTATAAAGTCTTTTCTCGTGCGCCATATTTTTTCGCCCTTCGATTGTTACAAGTTATATATTTTGTTAGGGCACGCTACTTTTTGTTCCTGATTTCGGTTAAAGTTTGCTCTTTTCTGCCAAGTTCGAATAGTTTTTTAACAGCAAAATTTTGATAAAGTATTTTCTACATGTTTTCGAAATATGCTTATACTCCTGAGGAAAATAATTGCCTTATACATAAAAAAGATGTTAAATTTTGATAAAGAGGAAGATCGTAAAGAAATACGCTGTCATGAGGTAGGGTGATATGAAAAAGTGCATTTAAACTATGAAATTTTGTTAATAGGATGTTGTAATCCTTGAGTGTAACTAAAATAAGAGAAAGTTGATGTCCGGCATACATGATCTTTGAAGTATTTGACAAACCACCTCTTTCTTTTGATTTGAGTGCTACAAGTGAAGAGAAAAAGTACTATCTCAGTCAACATAGAACTACTTCAAAAGTGTTGCAAAGTAAAATTATCACACAGCTATTTCAATGATATCTTATTGTATATGAATTTAATTTCATTCTATTTCGATTTTGACCGTTCTCAGCTTTTGCAACAGAATTAAGTCAAAAGTGTCGTAAAATTGGGGAAAATCGAAAGAGAGTTTATATACTGTGTTGAAAATAAGATTATTTCAAGGGAGGGGGGGGGGGAGCGTACCGCTCTAATTTCAAATAGAAGATATAATGAATTTTATATGAAATGAAAGTCCGTCAAAAATGAGGTTTATTAATACTAAGTAATAAGGGTTTTGAAAACTTTCATATGTTGAACTCTCTAAAGTTTTAGAATTTCGTAGAATACCATCGTTATAATCTACTTTTAGCGAGTTGTAAGGCAAAGAAAAACAAGAATTTTCTTTAGAAAAATTGGAAAAAGCTTTTGTTCTAATGACCATAAAATGTAACTATGATTCGGAAAATAGAATTATTCTTTTGCGTTCTGTTGTCTGCTCCTCATGGTTACAGTTATTTAAAAGATTTTTTTTGGTTATTCTTCTGTTAGAAAGTTTTAGAAGAGAACAATTTAAGTATTTTGTAGAGTAATATATAAGATCGTTTTCTGATTGATATATTTCATTACACAAATCCATCCTGTTATTTCATCAACGAAGTTTTATTGCTTGAAAATGGCTGGTACTTATGATACTGAATAACAGAGAATGATTGACAGAATTAAATACATTGCTTTTCGTGAAGCACGTGATGCTGGTACAACATTTATAAATAGACAATGAATCGTGGGAAAAGTTCACTGTACGACTCGATTTGACGCAGAATGATGGGAGAAATGATATGACCGATGTTTTACTAATTATTCAAATACCGGGTGTGGGTGTGGATGTGAGTTAACAATAGATGAACTGATTCTCGCATCCATANGAAATAAAAATTATTTGTTTCTTACTAGGAAGATTTCCACAAACAACAACACTTTTCGATGCATCTACTAATACATGTATAATTGGAGCATTGTGGTAACGTGGAGCTATTTTAACTGCAGTATATTGTCTAAAAAGAAGACTCATTAATCCTCATATAAAAACCCTTATTGCTATGAATACTTGGTACATTCCATAGTGCTTAACAGTATGTATTTTCATTCGAACGTAATGTTTAGCGCCATGTCGTCTTGCTGAGTACAACATTTTATTGAAAATACGTGTCAATAAGCACTACAAGGTGTAACGAATTTTTATAGAATTTCGAGTTTTTAGAAAATTTAATGAGAAGAATTTTAGCCTGGGTAAAAATTCATGTGACTCTTTGTGAAACATGGTCTAAAACGGGTATTGAAGTATAGAGGTAGACTTTTTGGACGCACCTTTCCAAATGAACGTCATTCTATCACTGTCGATGATAACTATCAGATGATCCATAATAAATGGCTACACTTTGCATTGTATATTTTAATTTCAAAATACGTTTTATTAAAAAAACAAAATATACCAACAGATGCAGCATGAAAAGCTCTAAAATCTACAAAGTAAGGTTTATTGTAATTGTTTTTAAAAAGAAAACAAAATTCTTTGAGAACAATTTTTGCAAGGTCGAAATTTTGCTCGCTCAAAATATTGACGATTTTGAAGACAAAAAGTGCAACTATAAAACAAGCGATCTAACGTAAATTGTAGTGCTTTTTGCGTTGCATCTTGTGGTATAGTTTTTTTTTTTAATAACACGTATTTTGAAGTTAAAATATACAATGCAAAGTGCAGTCATTTATTATGGATCACCCGTTACTTTAGTGCTGCCACTTCCTTCTCATAGAGTATGAACTTCTTTCACACCGACTTTAATATATAAGGATTATCATCTTTCATCATGGACATGAATTAACAATAGGTAGGAATTCATAAACTGAAACTTATGTTAGTGAATGCTTTCTTTTACAGTGTCAGTAACTCTATCTTATTTTATACTTTAATCTCATAGAGATTGCACTAACAGCGTTTATAAGATAGTTTAGAAAGATTTTGTAAAGCAACATATATTTGAAGACTAAACAATGAAAGACAAAATTTACTTTCAACAGGTGATACGATTTGGGTATTATTTAATACAAAGAATAGAAGAGAAAAACTCGATAAGAAATAATCAAACGAAATATGGAAGTATGCTTTCAATTATGAATTAATAAGTCAACAATATCTTATATATTCCTTCTAAGTTATGCAGTTATGCTTTTTTTTTCACAGCGAGCAAGTGGAACATAATAAATCTTACTAATTGTAAATACAATTTTTCAATCATCGACTATTCATCTAAAAAATTCACTTATATTTTAAGCTTTACAAAATTCTATACTTCACTTTTACAAACAATTATTTTTTTAATTTCGAAGTAACCAACACACTGAGGTACACTTTATGTCTTTACCGCAAAACTAAAAACAAACCAAAAAACAGCTTCAAAACTTTAAATGACAGCTTCATGTACAAATTCAGGACATAATAAATGAAAAAAAGAAGAAAATTTCACATCCATTAGGGGTGTCGTCTTAGCATTAGTATTGCATTAATTAATACTATTTTTAATACTTTTGTATTAAAGTTAAATAACTCAGTTAATACTTTTGCATTAGTCTTAAAAAAATAACTTAATGCTTTGGTGTTAGTGTTAACTTTGTATTAAGAAAATGCTAATACCTATCATGATCATGCAATTAGTTGATGGATCTATCATTGTAGTTCTACCACTAGCTTCTCTATAGTTGAATTTTCTTTGTAACATTTCTATACAGAGAAAATGTCATGTATGCACCTGGATGACATACATGTACATTTATAGTTCTTCAAAAAACATAAATAATTTCATCAGATGTCGATATTGTAAAAAGAAAACTCAATCTAAGCGTCATTTAGTGAGAATAAATCGTATATTACTTGACTTTTCATATGTTAGATGTCAAAATGACTGAATATTTTTCAATGAAACAAGCATAAAATCTTTTTCTTCATTATCATGATTATTATTCTGTAAATGTTTACTTAGTATGTGCTGCTTCTAAGCCTCTCCACAGTTATAGAGCACAAAAAATTCATTTCAGTAGGATCACTTCTTGTGTCACTTCAATAAAACGTAATCATCTGAATTAAGTGCTGTACATTTAATTATCAATAAAAATGAAAATATGAAAAATCTGTTGAACACTAGTTGATTGCATCTCTGGCTATGAAGTTATTTAAAAAAGCCATTATGTACTGAATATCTACTTAGTTCATCCGATTACACTTAATAAAATGGAGAAGAAAAAAAATATTACACACATTCTCTGTTTGATTTTGATCTATATGCTTTCGATGCAGAAAGAGAAGGAAAAAGAAGAGGAAAGAAAAGACTATGAGTCACTTGTTCGGTAACCTATCGTAAATCAAAACAGAGAGAACGACTAATAGTGTTATGCTTTGTTATTGTTATTTCTTTTTAATAGTTTCGTTGGTTTAGTTCGTCTGTTGTAAAGAACGAAGGTGGTGTTAAACAAGTGCATTATCTCATAGTCATCATTATTCACGTAAAAACTTTAAAGTGTTTTCTTGCTTTGCTGTTTCTATGTCTGGTGCAGCTAATAACTTCCACTCGAGTTTGGATGCTTTACCACCACATCCTCCAACTCGTTCCAGCAGTTTACGAACTCGATCATCACGATCTTCGACTACGAATCGTATCTTGCATCATACATTATCTAGTCAATTTCCATCATCATCAAGAGTTGTACGTCGGACACGAGAATCATCTATACGTAAGTAAATTCATTATAAGAAATAAATAAATGTTTCATTTTGTGTATCTATGAAATTAGTGTAACTATTTATTGCAGCTTATATCAATGTTTATGGATAATAAGACATACTATTAACAGAAAAGATGTAAATATTTTCAAGTAAATGTCAGATAAAAACACCACTACAGAGAGTCTTATCGTCTTTATATATTGCCTAATAATGTAATTATTAAAGTTTTGTGTAGAGGACAACACGCTTTTTTCATTCTTGCTGTTACCACTTACCCACATAAAACAACTAGAGTAAAAATCACATTAAAATTGACTTTAAAATAATTAAAAATCGATTCTAATCATGCTCTTGTAATCAATCCTTTATCACTTGTTAATCGATTTCAATTAAATTTAATCGAAAAAAACAAATTCTATTGATTAGTAACACTAATTTCGATTATAATCGATTGAAACTTGTACATTTGATTATAAACGATACAAATTCATGAAAATCTGCTGCAGGTTATTTTCAACTGTTGTGATGAAAAAATCATTTATATTCATTTATTGTATTAAGTTTTTATCGATTATAATTGAATTTAATCTTAATAATCAATGGAATTTTGATTGGTTCGATTAATTTTGGTCGAAATCGGTTAACAGCGTATGATGATAATAGACTTGTAATCATTTTCTAATTGGTTTTCATCTGGCTTTTTATCGTAATTTTTTTACATTGGTATATGGAAGAAATATCAACAATATTTCTGTTTCTAGTTTCAGCAATAAAAATTTCTTGTGTTTAGTAGGCTAAGTCTGATGACAATCTCTTTCGTGATTTTTCGAGTATACTGAATTTCATAATTTGGATAGGAACAAACAAGATTTTAAGAATTTTTTTATTAATACTCTTAATCTCTTTCTTTCACTTTTTCTTTAAAAAAAAGGTCATCTGAGTAGTCCTCGCATCTTAACTACGAATATATTGCCTCTGTCCCAAAATGTTTGTATTTGTTTTAGAACAAATCGATCGATTAAAAAAATCTACCACTTCCATCATCAACACCGATTTATATTCATCAACTGTTCTTTCGTCAACAAATAGCTGTGATTCTGATGACAATATACACGATGATGAATTTGATGGAAAATCAGATACTATAAGTGTTATTGAACTAACTGCTCGAAATCAATTGATCAAGAAAAATATTAAATCAACAAAACATCCAATTAATGTTGATAAAATTCCATCACAAAAAACAACAACTGCATCAGGAAAAAGATTGTCATATGAAGTGTATCAACTGTTTGAAAAACAAGTTGATGGAAGATACCGATGTACGTTGTGTACAAATCAACGAAAGGTGACATGGTTTGTTTCTTTTTCTAGCTGAATATTTTTTGCAAAAAAATGGTTGTTTAATTTTGTTTAGAAATTTTTCAGGTTTTTTTCTTAAAATCTTTTAAAAAAAAATGAATTGCATATAAGACGGAAAATTTTGTTTAATCCCTATGAATATGAAACAATTCAGTTGCATCGATGAAATAAGTTTGCTTCAGTTGACTTATAGAATCTATAATGAAAGCTGGTTTCTAACAGAAAAAATTAAGTTATACCATGTTTTTACTATTTAGATGATCAAACAAAATGGTCGTGGCACAGCTAATTTACGATCGCATCTTCTGCTTCATAATTTAAAAAATGTTGCTTATGAATCTCAAGTAGAACAGCGAGTTTTGAAAATGAATAAAACCTCCGATAATCAAATTTCTTTTATGCGTAAACATGCAATTGATGAAGCTATATTGAAATGCATCATCGAAGGCAGTCTGCCCTTTAGTCTATTTAATCATGATGCAGTAATTGAACTTTTTAATTTACTTGAACCTGGTTACAAGCCGCCGGATCGTCGTACACTTTCATTACGTGTACATGATCAATACTATCAACATATTCTCGATCTTAAATCTATTTTACCTTATATCGGACCAATCGCCTTCACCAGTGATTTATGGAAAGATGTTTCTCGTCAGCATATTATTTCACTCTCTCTTCACACGTTCTCAATCGACTTTGACTTTATTTCATTACCAATATCGTTTCATCAATTTAATGAACGAAAATTGGCTGTTAATATACAATCATTTTTCGAGCATGAAAAAGTACGTTTTGGACTTGGTACACATATTTTATCAGGTATTACTACGGACAATGGACCAGATATTAAATGTGGAGCATCTTCAAATGTACTTGGTCCTCGATATGCATGTCTTGCTCATTGTTTAAATCTTGTTGTTCATCATGCTACATGTGTATGGGATCTACCAAATCCGAAAAGGTAAAGAATATTCTATGTGAAAAAGAAACATTACAAGGAAGAAAAATTTTGCAGTTAATTCTTTTCATAAAAGAAAATAATTGCCCTTATTCTGATTGCACTAACATTTCTTCCAGGGCTCATCACAACTGTTAAAAGTTATGCACTTGCTTTGAATAAGTCATCGAATACTACATTTTTTTTTCTTTCTATAATATATATTTCTCCTTTTCTTCTGCGGTATTCATATTGTTATTTATTTATTTCTTTTACAAGCCATCCTTATTTCTTTCTCGATAGTATTATCCAGGGATTTTTCTCGTACATAAAATGGTAGCCTACTTATAGGATAACAGTTATTTTCATGTTACAAAAATACATGAACATGCAGACTATATACGCATAGATATATGTGTGTATGTATATAGAATATAGTCAACATCATTTTTTAGATTAACAAAAATCTACCTTGGATATCTCATTATATCTATGATCATTAGTTTTTTTTGTTGATTTCCTTTTAGATTTCCATTTGATTCAATGTACGAACAGGTAAACACATCTCTCGTCGACGATGAAGACGACGAAATAACAGCTGAAATTACATCTTATTCATGGTCGACGTCCATTGTTAATGGAGAAGGTTTACTCGATAGTAATGGCCAACAAGCAGTGAGCTATATTAACTTTTCGCCATCGGTTTTTTTTCTTATTTTTTCTCGAATATATACATTAGTTCGATTATTTTGTATTTGACGAAGTGGAACCCGATGTTTCAACTGAACAACCATCATCAAATGAAGATGTTTTTAATTTACTTGTTCGTATTAATCGTCTTGTACGAAAAGTACGTGCTTTTGTATCGATGACTCGTTTGGTTGCTCCACTTCAACATTATATATATGAACAAATTGGTCCAAATAAAGGAGGTTTTATACTTGATGTAAAAGTAAGTTTTAATCACGATTTTTTTCTATACTACATCTATGATTTCTCAAAAGCACGATGAGAAATGTTTTATAATTAATTGAAAATTATTCTGGCAAAAAAATAATGTTTTTGTTGATAACCAGCTGTTCTCAGAAGCGCATTCCTCTTTTAGCTATAGGTAGTACGTATAAGAGACCATCGGCAGGACAGGGTGGAATAGTTTGCTTTGCTAGCATTTTTTTCAAATAAAAACCATTTGAAATCGTTTACTAAATGCAAACAAGAATACTTCATAATATGAATCATCTATGTAATTCCACCAGCTAGCGGTGATTTCATATTTTCGATAAATTTCATTAGAACTTACGTGCGCGCGACACTTATTCTAATTCTTCATCAGCCAATACGAACTGTTTCGAATTGGAGAAAATTAAGCGTCAATCAAATTATAAACACGTATAGAAAATAATGAAAAGAAATGAACTGCGGCATGCTACTAGATGGTGATGAAAGGTTTCGACTCAATTAGATGATAGTACTAAGTAACCGAGAATTCCTTTTTACATTGATGCATATCGCGTTTTCGTATGAGTTAGTTACTAATGTCATGCACTCATGCTAAAAAGGCAAGATATTGTACCAAAAAGATTTATTTCTTCAACAGTATAAACAAAAACAACACTAATTTTACCCAATTATCATCTGATTTTTAGTTGTCGAATTCGATTGTTTTTATTGTAAATATTTTTTGATTTTTTTCTATCCGATTAATAGGTTTGCCAACCTCTATTAATTAAAGTTTATCAATCAATCTTAATCGATAAAACAAATTTGAAAAACTCTTTGACATCATAATAAGAGAAAGTGTAAGTTTAAAATTCGATAATGATTGAATAAAAATAATACAATTTTATTCAACTGATTTGAAACGAATTTATAATCATTTTTACTCATGGATAATATTATTTTGAGATGATATGAGAAACATAGTAGCACAGAATATAAAGATAGTCAACATTTTTCTTTGAATTACCGATACATTCTAAAGTCGGTTTCAGTTTATGCGCCTAAAGGGCATCCTGCCGTGCAACGGTCTTCTGTACTTATACATACTATTTTATTCTGGTTTATTAAATTGATTCAAGATATCTGTCAAGGCTATTTGTCATTGTATTTTGACCAGCGTAGACGTTTTCTAAAGCGAGACTTTATTTGAATTGGTTTATTTTTAGATACGTTGGAATAGCACGTTCAAAATGATACATCGCCTAATTAAACTTCGGGATTTGGTTGATGCAATATTTACTAAACGTGACTTTAAAGGTTTAACTTCTATTCAAGAAAAAAAGTTTCGTTCATTAGTATTCACCTATGACGATTGGGAATTAATAAATGCATTTCATGATTGTCTTGATATTTTTGACAAGGCTACAACGATGCTGTCCGGTGATTATCCTACACAGTCAATGTCCTATTTTGTTCTTCAAACATTAAAAGAAAATGTTCAACAAACATTAAATCCAACTTATTATCATATGATTATTAATAAAAGTTTGAATTTTCAATCGGAATATTATCTTGATGACTTTTTACCAAGTGCTCAAAAACTTGGAATGACAGTAAGAATTTTATTAAGCTCCACTTTTAAATGATAATTTTCGGAATGTTACATATGTACATCTAAAGTCAACTGAATCATTGAATAATCTTCATTTGATAATTATAATTTTATAGTAGAAAAAAAAAGACTTATGTCTGTAGATAAAATTTCCTTTTGAGAGAGTTCTTATTAGTATAGATCCAGCCTATAATATATTTCAATTTTTCGTTTATAGGTGGCAGCATTTCTCGATCCACTTTTTCATGGCGATTTAATTTTAAATAAAAATGATTATGAAACAGCAAAACGTGTGATTACAAACAATATGCAACAAATGGACACAACAACACCTGATATTTCAACAATGTTACCATCTACTACATTACAAGCTTTATCATCAGCAACGAATTCTGACCGTATGATGTCTCTTAAATGCAGTCTTATGAATGTTGCCAACAAAAAAGCTTCTCCTCCTTTGTCATTTCAACCTGTAAATGTTGATCTCGAAATGGCGACCTTTCTTACTTTAATTCGAGATAATGAATCGATAAATTTTCAAACATTTTGGAAAAACAATGCCCATGCACTACCACGATTAAGTCAACTTGCACGTCGATACAACGTGATTCCAGCAACATCAGTTTATTTAGAACAAGCATTCAGTGTTGCCGGTGCAATTAAGAATTTACGACGAGCATCCATGTCATCATTATCATTACGAAGCCTAATGATCTTAAAGAAGAAAAAAAATATCGAAAAACTTCGAGCATTTGTTCATCAACAATAACAATATACTGGATGCTGATTTTATTATAGTCTTTTTATTTTATTTTGTCTAGCATATGTGTTTCTGATAGTCGTTGTTGATTATTCAAACACTGATAAGTAGATGTATTCATATACTTAACAGTTTAATAAATTAGTAAAACATCTCTCCAATTAACTTCTTATACTGAATATTTAGTTCAGAACACAGCACGTGGTGAAGTGATCTTACTGAAATGAATTTTTTGTGCTCTATAACTGTGGAGAGGCTTAGAAGCAGCACATACTAAGTAAACATTTACAGAATAATAATCATGATAATGAAAAAAAAGATTTTATGCTTGTTTCATTGAAAAATATTCAGTCATTTTGACATCTAACATATGAAAAGTCAAGTAATATACGATTTATTCTCACTAAATGACGCTTAGATTGAGTTTTCTTT